TTGAATGATGCGATTCTGTAGGTTTTTAAAGAATCAGAAATCAGTCTCACGCAATCATTTATCAGGTAAAGAAGAAAAAGAGAAGGGTTTTCAATGGGGCTCACACTGATATTTTACAACGACCAGGTTCAGTGTTATCGGTGCAGAAACACAAGAACCTTCTTTTGATGAAACGCCGGACAGAAGTTCAAAGACCCGGCGTCGTCACAGACGGACAGCGGCCCCAGGTTCCTGAAGGTTCAGGGTGACGGAGGGAAACTCACACGGTCTCCACTGTGAAAGCTTCGAGGATAATTCAGGTTTAGCTGTTTTTTAATACTATTCAGTATTGATTGATCGTACGCCTGGACCTTGCTGAGGGCTGCACTGCACACGCTCCCGGCGGTAAACACGCGGACTGTTTCCCGTGTTCGCCATCTTGGTTTCAAATGAGTTTGTTTACATCAGGTCAGCTGCAGGCGACGTGCAGTGACAGCAACTCTCCTGATAACAGAAACTTTTCCAACAGACAAAATATGTTGTCATGGATACGGCGAGTCCAGCCCATGTTCGTTTACATTTTGGAAATATCAAGTGTAGTGAATGATGCAGTGACGCTACCACTGATCCCTGACTGAGGAGCATCTTCTTCTTCTTCTTCTTCTTCTTCTTCTCTGGTTTACTCAGCAGGTTCATGGAGGTTTATCTGCAGCTGTGTTTTCATGTCTGTGCCTTCAGGCGATGATTTGTCCAATGATCGTATTGATCCGATTTGGTTTGCAGATAAGTTTGAGTGTTTTTGATGCGACACGTGAATAAATGTGTCCAGCGATAAAAGACATGAGGTTTAGCTCATGTAATAATTATTCAGATACTTCAGCCTACTGCTGCTAACGCGGCTACAGTCTAAATAAACCTGAATTATCCCTTAAAAACTTTGATCAGTGAAAACAGCGAGTGGCTTCTCACATCTTGGCATTTAAAAAAAAAAAAAAAAAAAATCAGCTTCACATCCCATCTTCCCTTTCACACTCCTTTCTTTAGACGTCTTCTCCTCATTATTTCATGACGCTCATAAATGCTAATATCGGTTTCTCGCGGTCGTTAACAGTGAAAGTGAAAATAAATAACAAAAATAAAAATCCTCCAACATGTTCCGGGGCAGTTGTAGCACAAATGAGAGACATGAAAGATGAATGCAACCCAGTGTGTAGATCAAGTTTAGTTGGTTTCTTGGCAGCTACTGTTGGCGATGGAACGCTGTAGATTTTTAGAGTTCGTGTGGAAATGATGTTTAAAGAACCGCAGGTCGTTGGTTTCCCAGCCAACCAATGAACATACAGCAGAGCCCATCATGTGATCGCGGCTCCTCGTCGACCCGCTCAGCATCTGTTTCCTTCAGACAATACCGCCTGGAAATCTGAACTATTGCAGCGTCTACTGAAGTATTATACTGGTTAGCTAAAGATATAATACAAGTACTGCTTGAAAGTGCAGGTAGGAAGCTTGGCACAAGGTTAGTTTTGTGTTTTTGAAAGAAATACCGTAGTTACACATGTAAACAAAGACACTATCCCCGACCTAGCTGAAACCTCCCCAAAAATGGGAAAAGGTCTTGAAAAATAGAACACACCTGTACACAAATAGAAGCAAATATATAGAAAATACATTTACACGTGTATAATATACAGTAAGTTTTTGTAACCCTCTGACTAGTAAGATAACACTCTTCATTCAAAAAAATATATGTTATGTCAAAGAAGTAACTCCGCAGCCTGACGCGCACGAGAGGCTGGACTGGTATGGGTCATTCATGAGAGTTGGTTTTCATGTTGTGAATGGGCAAAAAGCAGGTTTTTTTTTTGTTTTTGTTTTTTTGTTTTTTTTGCACCACAGTGTTTTATCCTGGGCCGTCTTGGCGCCTCCTGAATGGCTCACATTTATAGATGCGGGTCTCAGCGGGACAACCTGTTTCCTTCCGTCCTCTTAAGGAAGCGAGTACGAGCCTTTTAAAACAAAATAAACCCCCCACTTAAGTGAATCGCCGGAGCTCTGCTGTCGACACGCAATAAAACTCCACCTTTTTTAATCTGTACATATTGCTGTCTGCAGCCAGAAACATTTACAATTACAGAATTGTATTTTGTGCTTTTGTACAAACCCACAGCACAATAAAAGGTAGATTCAGAGGCGGCTTCCTCAAAAGCTTCGTAGCACAAAGGTAATCTGTCTCTCAGAGCTTGAGGTTGATAATAAAGTTATTGGTGCAAGAAAGCTCTCGGGAGAGCTTTACCTTCCTCCCTGACCACGGAGGTCCCTCACCTTGACTTAAGAGATAGTTTAAACCAATTTGGCAGCGGCTGACTGGCTTATCATAATCCCCTTACTTCAACAATACACTGACGGAGTGTTTTTCGCTATTTGAAAGAACGAAATTAAAGTTTCTCACAGGTACGTTTCGTCTTTTCGCTCGGCTTCCTTTACCCCTCTCCCACCCACCCCTCCAACAACACTCGCTGAAATGCCGTTACGCTCGGAGTATTGAGTGGATGTGGCTCTGGAGAGAGTTGGCTAACCCATTATCACACATTCAGTGAGGGGGAATTCCTCCCCGCTTACGTCCTGCATTTAAAAACACACGACGCCGATGGCGTCACAGCTCCATCCTCTTCAGGATCGGCCTGAAAAACCTCCACGCTCTTGCTCTTCTTGACTTCCTGACTCTGAATTCAGACTTTTAGGTTTCAAAAATAATTAGTGAAGAGTGAGCCGATCTTGCGAGACGTGTGCAGGGATTCATTCGTACAATCTCTTTCCTATCTATGCAAATCATCACGTGAATTATTTCAATGTGAAAGCTCCAATTTTGAATCTGTCGGTGTTGCAGCTCGGACGTGAATCCGTGACCAGTCATTAGGATTGATCCCGAGCAGCTGCTGAGGCCGAGACCAACACATAGTGCGCAAAAGAGCTCGACAGACCTGAGGCAGTGTGAGTGTCCTGTCCAGCTCCTCGCAGCCTGTCGGCGCCGTCCTCTCTCCACCTGTACGTGAGTTTGCCGCCGTGGGATTCAGTGGAGTGATGAGTAATTTCCTGTTAAAACCCAAATCATTTTTAAAATCTCTTACAATAAGCATTTGGAGCAGGCGTTGGTTTGTCTTGCACCAGGTGTATTCAGATTTCTCTTTTCTCTGTGATCGTCTCAGCTCAGGTGTGGAGTGTTTAATTAACAGCGGTGAATCCCACCTCTACTGTTCCGGGCTGTGGCAGAATCTACTGTGTTTAAAAAAATAGACATAACTATTCTGTCGTTAAAATGGGACCTGTAGAAACGATGTTTTAAAATCAACTGTTCAATAAAGCATGTACCGGTTCTGTTTGACTTCTGCCCCTCATCCTCTCTCCTCTCCCACTGATACAATAGTGCTTCATATAAATATCTTTAAGACTCTTTTTGCAACACATTTCTTAAAACTATTTCAAAACATATTCAAATACATCTGTAGCATTTTTTAACTTTCACATTTCTTTAAAAAAACAAAACAAAACAACAAAACAAAAAATAAACAAAGAAAATAAAATAAAGAATGCAGTTGGAGTCAATACAGGGTTAATATAGCGCTCTTTGTTTAGTCCATCAGTTGTTGTTGAAATGTCCTTCTATCCAGGTTGTGGCACATAGTGGCATTATTGGCACATTGTTCATAAATACAGTTCATCTTCCACCCGCAGCAGCTCCTCGGGTTCCTCTTTCACATGTCAAATGTTTTTATTTTCCTTGAGACATCTGCGACGACCACAGTCTCGTCCCACACGTCCTGTAAATATACCTATATATAATCTATATCTAAATGACCGTACGTTTCCTGGAAATGCGTTTGTTGGCAGCGCCGCGGCCGCTCTGCTCGTCATCTCTAGAAAAATAAATAATCTTCACCAGTGTCCAAAGAGTGATCACACCACTTTACAAAAGAAGCTGTTTTGTGTGTTTCTTGTTTCCGACTGGATCCTGCAGAGAACAAAATCACAATTATCCCTCATTGTGAGGCCCAGCGCAGAGGAAAACAATCACTGTCACACAGATGGGATTTTCAAAGCTAGCCTACTTTTCACTGATTTTAGGGGGGGGGGCTGGGGGGGGCTGGTATCCGGCTCTGGCCTGAAAATCATGCAACCCAGTGCCTTTCTCACACCAGATGAAAGGCTGTATTGAGAATCTGTATTTCTAAGGGCCGCCGTTACGCCGGTGTGAGAATGAAAAATACATTAGGTCTGTTGAGATAATAAGGAATCTTATGTCTCTTAAGACAACAGCACAGGGAGCTCGCCGCGGAGAGCCGAGCTGACTGAGACTAATGTGTGTCCAGACGACGGAGAGGCGCTGTCCTCTCAGTGCGCTACCTGCAGGCGATCTATTCCTTTTTAAAAAATCTGGGTCAATAGCAGACGATACACCTCCCCCCGGGCCTCCAGCAACACTGTGGGACCGGAGCATGTGCTTAACTTTCACGCTTTGAATTTCAAATGCAGGCCGTTCTGGCATACATTAGCCGTGCATAAAAACGTGTCACGAGTCAAGTGAAAGTGCTTCTATACTGTGAAATGTTCAAAACAACGTGCTGTTGGTGTAAGAATGAGAGGGGCCGTATGAATATTAATGAAAGTGTTTCAGATATGAGAGAGTGAAATCATTAACTGTGAGCATGTAGTTTATTAATACTGATACGTACATAATGAGTCTCTTATCTGGACTACAGACCTCTGATTCTGCACTGACGTGGATTTCTAAACCTTTTCTCATGGCTGCACACGAGATGGAGCTTAATCATGTCACAAATAACAAACATATGCCAAGTTCCCCCCTCTATTCCCAAAGTGGGGCAGCGTCACCACGGGGATGGAGGTGGCTACGGCTCACATGATGATTTTTGCGAGGGGGGACAAAGCTGCGCATTACCCACCAGAGCGTGATTTCAGGGAGTCTCCTCCACCCACAGGAAGTGAACAAGGCCTTCAGCTCGTCAACAGGAGATCTCGAACCATTTCTCTGACACGAAGGCCACAGGAATGAGTTGTCTTTCGGTGGGGGAGGGCCTGCGGAGCGACAGAGTAACAGGCGAGACGTTAGCACGGGAGGCCGGCGGATATATGATGCAGGTTCATCTCGGACTTTAAAACGTCCTCCTCCCTCGTCAGCCTTTCGGTGCCGCGGTCGGCGCCGTACCGCCGGCGACGGGACGTAATCACATACTGAGACCTCCGCCTCTCGTAGGAGGTCGGTCCATCGCTCCATGACTTTAAATCAATAAATCCAGACACTCTGAACTGTTTACACCTGGTGAATTATCCCCAGAGCTGGACAAAGTACACAACTTCATTACTGGAGTCAGAGTTTAGATCCTCCAGGTCAAATATGACTCCAACACAGAACCTGATGAGTCTGAAACAACCTGCTGACTGACTGACTGTTGAACCTGTAGAGTAAACAGCTTAATTGTAAACCTTCAAACACAGACTTCAGATCAGACCACGGTCTCTCTGAAGAATCTTCTGCCTCATCTTTATCTAACGTCTCCATTGTCACGACATTGACAGGGTCAAACATGGCTGACAGTGGAGGAGTGGGCTGTGATTGGTTTTTCTCCTCTGATCAACACAGTGTACGGTCTGTCACATTTTTTCAAAAATAAAATACAATCTATTCCACTGACTTAAAGCTCTGCTTCAAAGTAAGAGCACTTCGTATAAATGTAGTGTTGTCAAAAGTACAAAAATATACTTGAGTCCTTATAAACCACACCTGTCCTGTGTTTAAAAGACAGAAACTCAGAGTGAAAAGCAAACGCATCAGCTGACGATTTACTGAAATGATGTAAGTTCAGTTTTGAAAATATATGCAGCATATAAATATATATAAATATATATATCTCATGTCTGCCATTTGAAATGCCGTCAGAGAGATCAGCAGTGTGAAGACTTCACATCCCATTTCCCTGCATCTATAAACCGAGTCATTACACAACAGCCAAAAAGCGCCTGGGAGCCGGAGCGTGCGGCGTTCAGGCAGCTCTCCAGGTGTCGGGCGGACGGACGAGGAAGGAGCCGATGGACAACAAGCGATGACGCAAACCCTCACACTGAGGCTGACTGTGTTTCTCACCTGTTTACATTATATATATATATATATATCAAAGAAAAAACAGTAGATATTGATTTCTTAACAAAGTCTGAATTGATCAGGCGCCGCTGCTCAATAACACTCGGGCCATTAGACTCCGATAACTTGAGGATAACAGTTATGATCATCTCTGTAGTGGACAGCAGCAGCGTCATTACAGCGCTCAGCGGTATGGATTTCCAGTGCTGACATCCACCCTCCTGCCCCGGCGTACCTGTTCCCGTTGTAAGCCGTCTTGTAGACGGGCGTCTGCTGAATCATCTCATCGGTGTAGATGGGCACAGCCGTCCGAACGCACTCGTGCGAGCACTGCAGGCTGTCGTTGTAGGCAGTGAATATGTCCACCTTGCTGGGCACCCGGGCCGGGGTGAAGTCCGTCAGGTTCTGGCAGCTCTCTTCCTGCTGGTGGATCTTGCGCTGATGGCTATTGTGGCGACCATTTCCCGACTGTGCACAGCTACAAAAACACGCACCAAAGACAAGAAACAAACATAAAATCATACCTTGTACCTCTGACGGCCTGCGGCCACGTGAACGTCTTTATGGGTGACAAAGTAAAGGAATCTTTCCTACCAGTTTTTAAGGACGAGTGTTGTGATCAAGGCTGCGATAACCATAATGAGAGACACAGTGATTGTAATTATCTGGTGAACTGCCAAACCTGCACAAAGTCCTGTGTTTACACGAGAGAAAGAGAGAGAGAAAGAGAGAGAGAGAGAGAAAGAGAGGATTAAAATCTGGTTGCAAAGGAAATGTTTTCACTCCAGTCGTGCACTTCCTTCCTGTGGGAACTCACCTGCGGCGTCGCAGGCAGCTCAGGGTGACCACGCAGAACAAATTTTGCTCTTCAGTAACTATTGATGACATCATCACTCATAATTGAAGAGTGACATGAATTATTCCATTACAGTACAGCCAACTGTAATGGATGACCGAGTCCAAGTTTTCTCCAAGTTTTTATAAAACTTTATTATGTTATTCTTATGTCTTTAAAAGAAGGAAATAAACCCAAATTAATGCGCTGTATTTTATGTATTATTCCTATGTTTACTGAGTCCAAACTAAAACAGACCTTCACTGTTGGTGAGTGACTCCTCCACCAGCCCCACACACTAAGAGCCAGTATGTTTTTTTATAAACTTTATTCCCCTCAGTGGTCTCTATTGTGTCTCTGTAGATTTTGCACGGAGGCTTTTATTTTAACATTAAATGAGAGCAAACTATTTCATGTGGTGAATCAAATAAAATACTTGATCAAGAGATGATGCTGACAGGAAGTCAGAAGACTGCTTTTAAAAAAAAAAGGGAGGCACGGTACAGGAAGTGTTGTGAGTAGACGATAAGACAATCAAAAAGATCACATTTATGTTAACCCAAGCTTAATGTGACAAACCCATAGTACATAACTGAACACAAGGAAACTAAATGCTACAACAGTACAAAGGATCTTAAGGTTCTTATTTAAAGCTGCATTAGGTGAGTTTTCGGCCACTTGGGGGCAGTGGAACAAGCTGAAAATACAATATCATGTATTAGTATTATCATCTTTAAAGAACATGCGAACACGCCAGAAAACAGTCGCCTGTTTACACATCCAGCAACTGAGTGGAAGTCAAATATTCACTCTCTTTGGGACCTTTTTGGTCTCCACCAACCAAATGCTCCGCTGCGTTCACCTGCTAGTTGCTAACTGTGTCTGGAAATAAGGCTGATAAAAGTTTGTGGCCCTGAAAACCGAAAGAAGCTGAAATTCTCCTTGGAGATTGGAATGATTTATTTCATTATTTCTATGCTATTGCAAAAAACTCTAAACTAAACATGTGAACCACAGTGAACAGTGAACACCTCCAGCTGCAGCCTCTCCACAGCACATACCTGCTGACTGGTAATGTTAATGACGCTGTTGAAGATCTGCTTGCACTCGTCCGCCCGCTCACAGAAATGATTCGTTATTGGATTTATTATCAGAAGAAATTGAAACCTAATTATCACGCTATCAAAAGCACAACAGGAACCCCGAGTGAGAAAATGATGAAGCCTCCTGCAGACTGGATCCTCTACATTTTATAAACACTGAAGAGTCAGTAGAGAAAGAAAAGTCCTTCCTCCTCCTCTGCGTTCATAATCCCACACACTTTTGTCACATCCTCCAGGTATCAGGGTTTAAAGCCTCGCTTTGCTAATCCACAGAAGAGTGAGTTACTCTGAATGCACCTTAACCAGATTACAGATATGACTGTGGACCAAATGTTCTCTTCCCCGCTCCCTCTGTTCTCTATGACTAAAATACAAAAAGCATTGTTCTTATTTAAACTCTTAAGACTCCCCGTGTGTGCTGATCTCTCACTTTTTGCCAGAGGACAGTAATCCACAAACAAAACTGCGCTGTACATGTCTAAATTGGGGATTAGTGCAAGTCTGTTGCGCCGCACCGTATGGTTAATGTGGTGTGTGTGTGTGTGTGTCTGTGTGTGTGTGTGTGTGTGTGAGTGATAGAGCATGAGAGCGACTAGGACACAATGACACACTGCAGCAGGTGACATGCTGCAGGAGGAGGGGGAAAAAAAAAAAACAGGCGTCATGATGAAAATGCCCACGTGGGCCTTCCACATCTCACCTCTTCATCAGCCAGCTGCCTCGCTGCTGATCCACCACAATTTGTCTTGGGGAAGGCTCAAAAAAAAAAGGAAGTGCTGCTCAGTCACTCTGGAGGAGCACATGGTCTCTCCCGGCGCCTCCTCCTGGATAATAAACTTCTGTGGTCGGCGCCGCGCAGGAGGCGGTCCGTGGGTCAGCCGTGGATTAATGATATCTTCGGCCGGCTCAGGGAAGCCTTACCTTACCTGCACAATCACAGCCCTCTTACCACGGCAAAGGCACATTAACTTATCTGGAAAGTCATTTGCATTTCTCTCCTATCCCCCCCCCCTCTCTCTCTCTCTCTCTCTCTCTCTCTGCCTGTTCTCCAGCTGACGTCAAGGCTGTTAAGTTGAAGGTGTTCAGTTACAAATTAACACATGTCCGAGTTCAGGCATAACGCAGCTCTCCCCCCTGACCCTGATCAATAGCTGAAGTCTCTGCTGAGAATTGTTTCTTTTTACATTAATGTCAGAGTGAACGTGATGTCAGTGAACACACCACGCTTTAAACGCAAAGTAAAATAAAAGTTTGATGTTCACCTGACACAAACACTCATCCCTTGTTGGCTTGACATACATTTTTTATGTTGAGTTGACAGTTTTTGAGTTTTGAGTTTATTTTACTTAAACGTATGAAGCCGATTTAGCCTAATTAGTTCCAGGCCAATTGACGACACATCCTTTGGTTCACTGAGCATATATTTTGATAGTTCAATGAACTACAAAAATAAAAGCAAAAATATGTACTAAATGTTTTTATGTCCATATGGTAATTTGTGTTCACCTTACACAACAAAAACATGTAATTACAACAAGAGTTGCAGCGTTATGCTGAACACAAAAACGTTTTGCTGTTTTAACATAAAATTATCACAATTTTCTGTGATAACTTATTATTTTCTAATACACATATTTAAATAACAATTTGTCAAAGCAACATTAAATTTGGAGTACAGCTTCATTACTTTGTTTGTGTAACTTAAAATCTTTGAGTAGGAACAAAACCTATAATGTTTGCATCAACTCAACTTAAATATTTAATGTTAAAATGGGATATACTGTGATGCTAAGTTATACACTATGTATACATTTTCACACTTTGTTTGAACTTCAAAAATATATTCTCGGTTGTTTCAATGTCTATTTGACAGGAAGTCACTTTCTCACCCGATATAATGAAAAAACTTGTGTTCACGTTGTGTAACAGAAATACACAATCACAGCCGCGCCCGTCTGACACCAGAGGAATCCAGTAGCTCAGTCTGGAAACACGAGCGCGCCGCGTGTAGCTCACTGACGCCGTGTTTCATGTTTTCATGGTGTTTAAGTCTAAACCACTCACTGAGATTTCAGAGCTAAAAAATATGCAAACTTTCCCCCGGTGCAGCTCTTTTAATGAAACCAATTAAAACCCCAGAACGTGAGGTCCCGAAACACAAACACCAACACTGAGTCCATTATAACCTCATTTTCAGGGCAGTATGATTAAAGGTTGCAGGGATAATAGAGCAGATAATGACATGGGTGACAAATCTGAGAGCAGAGGCCAGTTCTATTTTCATCCACAACTGCCAGTTGGAGGGAGGGAAATTTGGCCTGGCTATCTAAAACTCATTGTATCCTGGCAGTCGGGTTGAAAAATCACCTTTGGCAGTCACCTTGCTTTAGAGATACCACAGTTAGGGTTTTGTTTGGTCAAATCACTGCCAAACAAAGAGAGGCTGAGAGGGAGGGAGATAGAGAGAGAGAGAGAGAGAGAGAGAGAGAGAGAAAGAGACGGAAGGAAGGAAGTGATAGAAAGGGATTCGGAGGAGGGGACGGCTCGCTTGTGACCTCTGTGGCGGCAGGATTAGAGCCGCCATCGGCGCTCCCAGCCAGGAATAAATGAGATTTTTTGGCCATGACAGTTTGATGAACATGTCAGAAAAAAGCAGAGCAGTTAGATAAAATCTCCTCTTTCTACTTTTAATAAAAGATTTAAAACAATAAATGTGTGTGTGGCAGGTAAAGCCTGGTGTGTATCACCTTTTTAAAAAATTACCCAGCGTGGGTTTTTTTTCTTTTTAAATTGTCACATCACATTATCTTGGTATTTTCAGACTGAATGCATTAAAAAAATATGCATTCACATAATCCCACTGTGTGCAGTCGGTGGACACACAGACAGCACGAGAAGAAGAGTGAATACTGGACGTTAACAGGTTGATTAAATGTCAGCGTTTTGTTTTGTTTCTGCCCCAAAGTGGCAAAAGAAAATCCTTTTCTGCAGCTGTGAGCTCAAACCTGAACCTTCGTCACTACAGTCAGAGAAATGTGGATTATATCTGCAGCTCGACTCATTTCTTGAGCTGTCAAGTGGTAATTAGTGCCGTGTTTGTGAAACACATTACACTGTTGCTGTATTTATCTCCGTACCTGCTTCACTCAGTTTGTCCTTTAGTGGTTAAAATGATCAGCAGCAGCCGCCGCCGCCGCCGCCATGTGCAAACCGCTTTAACTAAAATATGAATGTATGAAAATAAAAGAAAGAGGATGCAGGTGGCTGCAGGTCTCTTAACCAAAGGTGTTAATTTTGAAGGGTTGTTTGTGCAAGACTCTCCAGCTGATCCACAGAGCTGCAGCGCGACTACTGACAGGAACCAAGAACAAAAGATCAGATCTCCACTGTGTGAGTTTCACTTCACTGGCTTCCCTGTAAAATCCAGAATACAATATGAAATCCTCCTCCTCACCTACAAAGCCCTGAATGGCCGGGCCCCATCATATCTTGCAGAGCTCGTAGGACTTTATTACCCCACTAGGAAACTGCGCTCCCACAACGGAGGCTCACTTCTGGTTTCCCCGATGGGAGGCAGAGCCTTCAGCTATCAGTGCTCCTCTGCTGTGGAACCATCTTCCAGTCCGGGTCCGCTCTGTGTTTAAGAGGAGGCTTTGGATGAAGCTTATAGTCAGGCCCGTCTCAGTCTCACCTTGAACCATCTCCCAAGTTGTGCTGCTATAAGCTTAAACTGCCGGGGGACTT